TGAGGATTCGTAACATCTTTTTAACGAGGGAAGATTTGTCTGAATTAGCGTACAATGCTAAGCTTATGAGATAGTGAGCTCAAACACACAGCTAACAATAAGCAATCAGCATGTGACGATATAGTAAATACAGCAGATTACATAAATAATAACAATAATTCTTACATGACTTCACCTTGGGGTCCTGCATTGCGATCCTGGTCCTCTCACGAATTCGCTGCAGCGTCTCTGCACATGGAATTCAATCAAATAAGGCACTACCGTTCCCACATAGTGTTATAAGCAATTATTTCTCAGTTAGCAGCCTCTATGCTTTTTTCTGTTCTTACTCTAACCCATGCTACTACGGCCTCCATTCTGAACCATGTACTACATTTCTTCCTATTAATCAACGGGACCTCGAGAAATCCAGCCATCATGCCCATCAGGATCCACGACACTAACAAATGGCCGCCGCATTTCCAAAACATCTTAAGAACAAGGAAACTAGAGAGAGAACAGGTATATACCTGGGCTATGCTTCCTGCCTTTGTTCCATGGCGTGTTACCCTTGTTCGCCAGCGAGATCCGCGTCCGCCTGAGCCTCTCCCTCTCGTCCACGTCCTCAGCCTCCTCCTCCATCGCCAGGAGCTCGGTCCCCACCGCGCCCGCGCCGAGGTCCAGCCCCAGCGCCGGGCCCGCGCTCGCGACCGCGCGAACCGCGCCTGCGCAGGGGCGTCGCGGCGTCGCGAGGTGCAGGACCCTCCGCCGCGGCGGCCAAGGGGGCATCTGCTGGAGCCGCGGCCAGGAGGAGACCCAATTGCAGCCCTGCAGCTGCGGCGCCATCGGACTAGTGGCGATGACGGAGTCTGGCGATTCGGACGGGGAACGAGCCGGTAGCCGGCGTGGATGGCACGCCGGAGCGGATGGAAACGGAGGGTGGCGAGGAGGCGGCCGGTTTGGGTCCCGGAGCGAGAGGAGGGTGGTGGACTGGTGTCGCCGCGTGCGCGTGTGGGGCGGAGGAGGAGCGTGGCGGGGATAAGGCGCGCAGAGGCACGGTGGTTTAGGTTGACCTAATTTTTTAAGCCCTTTTTTCTTCGAGAAAATTTAAGTTTTGCCTCCGGGTAGACTTAAACTTATCTTTGACCTTAAAGATCGGCGTCAGGACTCAGGGCGCCGAGGTAACATGTCTCGGCGCTATAGATCTGGGCTCCAAGGTGTCTGGCCGTGCATAGCAGGACATCCTAGATGGTGTTGATGTGGCCGATACCTCGGCGCCAGAATACATGGCGCTAAACTCGGTGCCACGGATCTTGACGCCGAGCTCGGCGCCAAAGCGCGGTGGAGCGGGCAGTGGAGGTCGCTGAGGTTGACTGCTCACTAGTCACTGCTCACACGTTGCATTCATGTTGCTCACCGATCAGAGTGTTTGGTGGCATGCATTTATAGACGCACCGACCAGATTGTTCGGTGGCATGCATTTATTGAACTTTGGAAAGGTTTGCTTAGCTCAATCTTTTCTTTCCCCGGTTATGCGTACGAGTATTTGCAAGCTAGCCAGCACTAGCATCAACAAAAACTACGATTAGAGGCAAACACACTGTGCCGCAATAATATGATTAAATAACAAGCACTCTGCGCTACAATCTTTGCTCACGCACGGCACGAAAGTAATACCAGGTACCACATGCGTGATCTAGTACTAGCTGGCACACTATCACTGATGCTCTTTATTATTACCCTAAAAAAAATTCACCGATGCTCTTTAATATTCCTTAACACATAAGCAATGCAACTTACAGCCCTGCCAGCTGCCACGGTACAATACGCATATACTAATCGAAAATGACACATACTGTTTCTAGCATTTCATTCCATGCAGATAAAATTATTGGGTATACGTTGTGGTCAGTTTTTAATGTTATCTCATCAGTCGTGACGCCATGCTCCAAGAGAACTAACTAGGGCATCTCAATCTAATCACAGTAGAATTAAAAACTGATGAGATAGATCATTAATTAGTCGAGAAAATGCAGTGGCCACCTGTCACCGACCCCCGGGCATGTACATCGCCCTGAAAGCTTAGTCAAAATTTCACAATTCAAGTTTCAAGTAGCACAGTATCAGCTGCTAGTTAATTGTTTTTTTTAAGCTGCTAGTTAATTAGTGTAGTTAAGTAGAACAGTAATTTGTTCTTGTTGCTTCTCTGATGTTTGCTCTGTGCTGCTTCGCACAAGGTAAAGCGGCCAATCCGTGCTTCTGGTCGGCAGAACTGGTACTGTGGTAGTGGTACTTATAGGGGTCGTTATTGCTGCAACATGTGAGCAGTGACTAGTGAGCAACATGAATGCAACGTGTGAGCAGTGACTAGTGAGCAGTCAACCTCAGTGACCTCCACCGCCCGCTCCACCATGCTCTGAATCCATGCTCGGCGTCCAGATCTGTGGCGTCGAGCTCAGCCCATGTATTCTGGCGTTGAGGTATCGGGTACGTCAACGCTACCTAGGATGTCCTGCTATGCACGGCCAGGCTCTTCGAAGCCAAGATCTGTGGCGCCGAGACGTGTTACCTTAGCGCCATAAGTCCTGGCGCCGATCCTCAGGGTCCAAATATGAGTTTAAGTCTCTCAGGGGCTAAACGTAAATTTTCTTAAAAAAAGATCAAATTATAAAAAAAAATAGGTTGAGGCGAGAGGCGACGGTGTCAAGTGTACGGTCACATCTCATGCGAGCCAGTCACAGGGAACGATTTTTTCATTTTCGTTTCTCCGAAACCAGATACCTGTCCCAGTCACGGTCACGGTGTTAGGTATCTACAAACAGTCCCATGCATACTTATATGCATGGGCATCAAACACTCCATGAGTGAATCATGCTAATATATATTATTATATGATTGATGAACTTCACTGCAAAGATACTCGCGGGTCATTACATTAACTATTTAACTTTTACTTACTTGTCTAGCGTAAAGGGACCCCAGCCGACTATATAGGTCGTTCACCAGCCTAAAAAGGATAATCGATGAGGGCTGATAACAACGATAAAAAAAAAAAATAGTTTGTTTCTGTTGCTTTGGGAAAGTGTTTCTTTGAGTCTTTTCAAGAAAAGGAAAAACAGAGAACCGGAGAAACCGTCATTCATACCAGTTGCAAAAAAGGTACTCGATTGGTTTCTAGAGACTGTTTTCTTTTTTCAAATCACAGTTCAAAAGACTGAGCTGGTGATTTGTTGTTGATGGACATGTTATCTATCACTAAAAACTAATCCTCGTTATCGATGGGACATGTCGCTTCTTATTACTAAAATAATAATCCAGAAAGATGTGAGCAATTGTGTCAATTCGTTGCTTAGGGTTTGTTTGATAGAGCTCTTTTGATTCCTAATTCTATGGAAAAGGATTATCTAAGATAAGTGATTTTATGGTTAAAAATGTTTCTCCAAGATAATTTTTTTAAGAAAGTAATTAAGTGCACCTGTGTAGTGCTGGTGCATGCGAACCATGACGTGAAAGAGAAACGAACAATAACAGAGTTCGACTGCCCTTAGTGTGAACATCGATGGTGGGACCCATATGTAGAGTAAAGAAATAGTTCTGTTCCGTCTATCCTTCTCCTTGTGTGGTCAGGACAATCGTGCTCGCAAATGGCTACAAGCAAGATATATTATTTAACTTGGCTCGGTTCGATGCATCTGTAGAGTTCAATTTTTGTTCTAACATCTATGGTTCGACTACCGGTTCGATTTGTTTTCCCCCAATTCGCTTTTTGGCAACACTGGTGCTGCTCTAAGCTTCCAAGTCGATAGATCCAGATGCAAGAAAGCTGATCAGCTCCAGCGTCGCGTCGAACTCAACTGTGTTTGTCAGGCCACGCATGCAAAGATTTCATTCATCTGGGAACGAACCGAGCACGCTCTAGTGTTAGCTCTACATTTCTCTCAGCGGGACCCACATAAAAAAAATCGAACCGAGGGCAAGGACCCACATCAAATAATATATAAAGCATTCTTATTTCCTCGCGCCGAACAAAAACTCTCGTCGAACCGAAAATCTCTTCCTACAATTCGGTTGTTGTAGCATGTGAATTGAAGTTTCGCTACTTTCTCTCTCCCCTCGGTTTGTTTCGCAGGCACGCTTTTGCAAGAGAAATTTTGGATATCCAAAAGGCATGCGGCTACCAGCGCTTGAACAGTTGAAGCCAAATGAACTCCATGCAGTTATGGAGATCTTGGAGCTCATGTGCTCTAGAATCAACCAAAGTATCAAAGACGATGGATTAAATGAGATTTTTCATTCAGTAATACCAGACGATAGCTGAAGGTTGGTCACTGCTGCATCATGTGTGTTAGCGTGTACGTTGACCGATATGGTTCTCGCTTACTACTGAGTACATGAAGACGTCAAGGCAAAGATTCACTCATCCAGGTCTTCCTCAAAATATCAGCAAGGCCTTGGGCATCAAAAGCTCTCTGATGTCTAGAGCTATGAAAATATGATATCCGACGTTTTCGATGTCTTTTCCATTGAAATAATTTGGTGGATGTATATTGAACTAGTTTTATTCAAACAATTTGATGGAAAACATTATGGAAGCCTTAAGACTACAAAACATGACAGAATATAGGGAAAGCAATAAAAACAGTAGGCAATGTTCAGTCTCTGTCCTCGTATCTAGAAAAATCAAAACAGCTACAACTGCTAGTTTTCTTCCATCCTCGCAGACTCTTTTCTTGTATGAATTGACAGTTGTCCACGTTGCCCAACGCTTCAAAATATCTACCATGCCAACTCTACGTACACATAAGTGGTGAAAAAAGAGGGCGAAAGGTACAAAAGCAACAGGCTGAAATATCTGCAGAAAAGTAACCGTCAGGCGGCCACTCACACTTGCTCGCAGTGACAGTCCCGGACTCCCAGCTCCAGAGCTTCCTCGTCGGCTCTTCCCGCATCCCCTGCCACCGTTCAGTTATCCGTTGCCACTGCCAGGCGACCAACGCAACGCAAGTGACCGTGGATCAGCCATGCCCGCGCTTCTCGTCAACACCGTCTCGGTCTCCCCCGCCGCCCCAAGGCCACGCTCCTCGCGGCCGGCCACGGCACGGCGAGCGAGCGCTCGCCACAGGTGCCGAGCCGAAGCATCCGGCAGCGGTAGCGGCACCAACGGCGGCGACAGCGGCTACAGGCCGGGGGGCGTCCGCGGCTCGTGGGTGTCGGACTACGACCTGTACGAGCTGCTGGGCGTGGAGCGGTCGTCGCCGCAGTCGGAGATCAAGGCGGCGTACCGGTCGCTGCAGAAGCGGTGCCACCCGGACGTGGCCGTCGCCGCGGGCGGGCACGACATGGCCGTCGTCCTCAACGAGGTGTACGCGCTGCTCTCCGACCCGGCCGCGCGCCTCGCCTACGACCAGGAGCAGGCGCGCCGCTCCGAGTTCGCTGGCTACACGGGCCGACCGCTCTACTCCTCCTGGCTGGGCCCCGAGTCCGAGCGCCGGGCGGTGTTCGTCGACGAGGTGCGCTGCGTCGGCTGCCTCAAGTGCGCGCTCCACGCGTCCCGGACCTTCGCCGTTGAGTCCGTCTACGGCCGCGCCCGCGCCGTCGCGCAGTGGGCCGACGACGAGGACAGGATCGTTGACGCCATCAACACCTGCCCCGTCGACTGCATCTCGTACGTAATTGACACATTCTTCGCTCATACTCATCCATCATTCATCGATCTTCTGATTCCCAACGGTTTCTGCTGCGTTATCCGTTCATCCAGGATGGTGGAGAGGTCGGACCTGGCGGCTCTCGAGTTCTTGATGTCCAAGCAGCCGCGCGGCAGAGTCCGCGTCTCCGAAGGCAACGCCGTGGGAGCTCGCGCGCCCAACGTCTTCAACGAAGTCGCCAAGTTCCAGAAAAGATTCGAGGAGATGAAGCAGAAATCTGCGACCAGAGAATCCCAGGTGATTGATGATGGCTGATCCCTCCCGTCCAGCACCCTACTTCTACTTGTCTTCTCCGTTGAACTCGTCTGAAACTGAAACGAGAAATCCGAACGCTGCGCGCAGGAGTCAGAGGAGGCACGGCAGTCGAGGACCTCAGCGGTCCATACCATCAGATCCATGTCGAACTGGTGGTACTGGCGGCCATTCGGGTTCGGCCCATCGGCCCCGGCCACCATTGTCCGCGCTTCGCGCCTCCTGCCGCCGCCGGCCGCGGCACCCACTGACACCGTGACGGAGAGGCTCCAAGAAGCCGCCGCTGCCCGGCGCAAAACGGAAGGCGCGGCCACGGCACACGCCCGGCGCGACGACTACTGGACCCCGCAGCTGGACCTGCCGTCGTCAGCTTCTCCGCCGAGCATTCACCAGAGGGGAAAAGACGCTCCCACTCCCCAAGGCCACGGCCGCAGGCGAGGAGCAGCCGGTGAAGCGGCCGCCGGCGCCGGCGCCGGGAGGAAGGGCATAAGCATCGACCTGACGGCGGCTCTGCTTCTGGGGATCGTCGCGGCGGGGTTCGTGGGTTACAACGGGGAGGTGGTGGCCGGAGGTGGCAGCGGCATTCAGGAGCATGTTGGCGGCGCCGTTGCTCTTGGAGTCGTGAACAGCTTTGAAATGAAGGTCATGCTAGCCGGGGTGACTTGGTTCATCATCGGCGCAGCCATTGCCGGTGTGATTCAGGTACTTGGAAGAAGGGAACAAAACATTTGGAAATGAAGATACTTGTCGAATCCGTGTGTGTGTATATATACAGAATAGGGTACACAACTACACATGTAATCCTGCATAAATATAGGCAGCTGGTTGTTTTGTAGAACAGCATCTCCGAGAGTTCCCTAAACCTCTCCCTAATCCTTGATTTTTAGAAAAATATGAAAAAATTTCTCTTCAACAACTCCTAATAAAAAAAAGGGCAGACCCAATGCCGGAGGCTCTCACATGAGTGAGGTCTAGGGAAGGGATAAACCGAGACAAGCCTTTCCCCCGCAAAATCTACGAAGAGGCTGCTTCGAACCCACACCTAGTGACTCAGTGAGACAGCTCTCACCATTGCACCAGACCTGTCCTTCTCAACAACTCCTAATATAATCTCATAGTATTATTTTAGGAGTTAGAAAAAATCGCTGTCGTCCGCGTAACTTTAAGCGTCGTAGACTCGCGCGTATCCTCCGTGGCGCAAAGGTCGCGACGTTTTCTTCCTTCCCGCGCCCTTCCTTTGCCGCGGTTTTCGTCGTCGCGCCATTGTTCTTCGTCGAGGGCAGAGGATCTTCGCCGTTGCCGACAAGGAAGAGGTAAAAACTCCATCAATCTACTGCTCTATTCTGGTATTTTGCCGTTCGTTGGTCTTATCCACGCCGCCGCCTCCGGGATTGGCCACCGCCGCCGCCGCCGCCGGGATTTGCCGCGTGCTGTGTCTCTGTGCCACGCCCTGGCCGCCTGCCTCTCTGCCAGCCCCTGTGTTCTGTGAATTTGGTTTCTTCGTCTGCGGCTAGCTTGTCTAGGTGGCCGGCAGGCATCAGTTTTTTTTTTTTTTGCATTGGACTACTTGCCAGCATTGTACTATGGTATTGCTTGCCTGCATGGTACTGTGCTCTGCTGATGGCTGCTGATGGTACCGAACTGCTACTGGCCGGCTGCTTATGCGTATGTCTGCAGCTGATGTTTCCTACTCTCTGCTGCTGCTCTGCTGATGGCTAGCTGCTACTCTTACTGGCAGCCTGTTCGGGAGGCCGTATCGTATCGTGGATTATTTACTGTTGGCTGGTTTGGTATGAGAGAAAAACACTGTTCTCGGCTGGAAATTTATGATCGTTTACGAGCAAGCGAACAGGCTGGCCGGCTGAGAGCTAGCAAGTTGCGGCGGCGGCAACGAGGTCGCGGCGTGAGAAAGGGTTCAGCGTGCCCCTGTGCACTCCCATGATAAAAAAAAACTATTTATTAGAAATTCTGGGAGATAGTCTTTTTTTTTCCTCTCAATATCTTTTTAGAAGTTGTAAAACTACAAGATTTTAGACGAAAAAATAGGAAACTCTAGGAGATGATTAGCAGGTGATGCCGGTACGCTTGTCTCCCTCCCTAAAAAAAAGTACAATTCTAACATACTACCAAGTCAAATCATTTTGAGATTGACCAAGTTTATGTAGAAAGAAATCAATATTTATGATGTTAAATAAGTGTTATTAGATTCATTATGAGAGATAGTTTTATTGCATTTTTATGTTATAAATATTGATAGTATTTTTATAAATTTGATCAAATTTTAGAAAGTTAAATTTGATAAAACTTTAGAAAGTTTGACTGCGGTAGAATTGCATATTTTTTTTTGATAGAGGCAGTACAGCCTAGCCTAACTCAGATCGCTACTGCACGCGAGCACGTCTTATCTGGCTGGTTGGATCCTGGAATCGACACAATATTCTTGGATTCTGGAATTTGCGCATACTGACGCGGAGTGTTCAGAATTCAGAAATGACGCGGAGTGTTCAGAATTCAGAAATTCACAAGGAGCTGATTTGAGCTTGCATCAAGATCTAGAATCTGATTTAACGCCTGAAATCCGAATGGTAAACATAGGAGTCGAGACAGGAGTTCTTGCTATTGAACTGACGAGCAAGAATTGTGAGCGATATTCAAGCTGCCTCTGAGGCCGCGATGCATCCACGTGACAGGCACTTTAGCACCTTCTGCTAACAAACAGATATATGAAGAAAGACAGCATAAAAACTGCTCTATGCGCCTACATTGGATGATGTAAACACATAATAGAGAGAACAGAACCAACAGTTCATATTTTGTGTTTAGTGCTGGAAAATTTGCATTGCCTTGCATTGATCAAAGACAAGTTTTCTACTCAAATATGTCATTGCGCCTACAAAAACTTTCAAAGTTCGGTCATGACATGCTTAACAATCAAAAAGTACTCGCTGTTGTCACAATTGGTGGTTCTGAATGACACCCGTCACACCTAAACCAAATGTGGGGAAAGATGTTCTTGACTTTTGAGCTGAACTGATGCTATGGCTACTATAGTCAGTCTCGCCAAAGCAGGTGCCAATAACAACCACCCCGCCGTCTCCTGTAGCCACTCAGATTTTTGACAATAATGTACTTGTCTTGAGGTAATAGCTCTAACCACTTCACTAGCGAAGATGCCTCAGGACCTGTTCTTTGGGGGTTTCACCTTGTATATGCGCACTATCCAGTTTGAAGTTGTAAATGCTTCCTCCAAGTATTCAAGTTTTATATCTTTGTTGCCAATCTCCACTCCTCTTACACGATCATAGCTGCGTTGAAAAGAAAAAAAGAAAGAAAAAGGAATACTTCCATCAATATGCAGCCTATAACACACAAACATACTTTCCAGCTTATATGACAAAAAAAAACAATCCTAAAATGATGATTAATTGTATACAACTATTTCTGAAATACAAAAAAAGCATTGGCATCTTCATTTTAAACCAAAAATATAAGACAACCTTGAACTTGTTAAGAAACACAAATGGTTAGAAATAATGGTAAAGATGTGCCATACCCTGGAGGTTTTCCATATTCCGTGGTAAGTTCTCCAAATCGGTAGTAACAAAGCTTGTACCTGCCAAACACAGTATGAGATAAGCCACAGGAAAGGTTAGAAAAGGTAGCACAGATTCAGAAAGATGTCCTCTCACGATGTAAAAGTTTGTTTTTCCAAATCTGTGCTAAAAATAAATATTTTCAGAGGAATCCTCTCTGTAAATAGCTAAAAAGGCAGCTTTCACTAATACTCGTGGGCAATTCTAATAATCATGCATGTCTGGGTAGTTGTAGAGAAACACCGCACACCCTAATCAAGGGGGGGTGACCTTCATTATTTGTTCAGTGTGCGAAGCATCCGCTCAGCTTTGCCGTTCTGGGCGGAAGTGTAGGGGCACGAGGTGCGAAGCAGGATGCCGCGGCTAGCTAGGAAGGTAGCGGTGGCATTGTTGATGAACTCGGTGCCATTATCCGCCTGAAAGCAGCGCACAGGAAAACTGAACTGTGTGTGAGCGTAAGCAACAAACTGGACAATATGTTCATGAACTTCTGATTTATGGCGAAGAGGAAAGATCCAACAATAATGTGTGTAATCATCAACTATGACAAGATAAAATTTATAGCCAGAAATACTCAAAACTGGAGAGGTCCAGACATCACAGTGAACAAGTTCAAAGGGAGCTGATGTACTAGAAACCGAACTAGCGAATGGCAGCCTAGCGTGCTTGCCAAGCTGGCAGGCATGACAAATGTGGCGAGCTGCTTTATTACACTGGATAGCTGATAGCTTAGTTAGAGTGTTGACGACGGCGGGTGCAGGATGACCAAGGCGGGAGTGCCATAACTCCGGGGAGACGATGGCGACATGGCAGCGAGGTGGCATGTGATGTGGAATGGTGTAGAGATCCCCATTGCTATTGCACCGAAGAAGGACCGTCTTGGTCTGCAGATCCTTAACAGAAAAACCAGAAGCGTCAAACTCAATGGAACAGTTATTGTCGCGAGTAAGCTGTCGAACAGATAACAGATTACGAGTGAGTTGGGGAGCGACAAGAACATTATCAAGACGAAAAGGACGATCAGCTATTTGAATAACAGAAGTGCCACGACGATGAATAGGAATTGATTGACCGTTGCCGACCATAATGGAGGACGGTGGCGACGGGAGATGGGAAAGTAAAATACCGTCATTGGAGGACATGTGAGATGTCGCTCCGCTGTCCATGACCCAGGGTGCAGACCCGCCCTGGATCGCCATCTGGTTGAGGGCGGCAATCAAGCTTGCCGAGTCCCAGCTGCCCGGAGGCCCGTACGCCGGGGGACCGCCGGCAGTGGAGAACTGCGGAGGCGCGAAGGCGGTGTGTGCCTGTGGAGGAGGCGCAGGTGGCGCACCCCACTGCTGCTGCTGCTGGGAAGGCCACGGAGCAGCCCAAGGGTTGTAGCAAACCCAGGGGCCGGCCGGTTGACGCCCGCCAAAACTGCCGCCTTGCTGTTGGTTGCGGCCACCGCCGCCATTGCCACCTTGCTGCTGGTGGCGCCCACCGCCGCTACTGCCACCGCCGCCGTTGCCACCACGGCCGCCCTTGCCCTTGCCACCCTTGCCCTTGCCACCGCCCCCACGATTGGTGGACGCAGAGGGGGTGGGCTGGCAGGATGGCGACGTGCAGGAGGAGGTGGTGGAGGCGGCCAGTGCTGAAGCCGAGGCCGCCTTGTCCTCGGTGCCAAGGCGGAGCTCCTTGACGCGGAGCATGTTGGTGGCAGACTTGAAGTCGGGAAGCGGCGACGTGTTGGAGATGATGTCGGCGGTGTTGGCGAAGCGGGGGTTGAGGCCACGCAGGAGATTGAGCACGAGCTGCGCAGGGGAGATGGTGTGACCGACCTCCCGGAGGGCATCAGCGGTGCGCTTCATCTGCTGGGCGTAGGCGTCGACGGAGAGGTCGCCACGAGAGGCGAGTTGTGGAACTCCCCGCCGAGGACGACGGCGCGGACTCCTTGTTCGCTGGAACAAGGCCTCGATGGAGACCCACAGAGCGCGCATCCCGTTCGAGCTCCATGGCGAGGTCAAGGGCGGCGTCGTCGCCGACGAGCCAGTACATCCACCGCGGGCGGCAAAGGCCAGCCGAGACCACGAAGTCGGTCGGTAGCGCGTCGCCGTGCCATCGATGTGGCCGAAAGCAGCCCGTACTTGCCGCGAAGAGAGCGGT